TAACAGAACGTCAACTGAAATGAGTGTCATCTATTGTAGCATTACTTGGGTCAAATGTTTCTACTTTTTAGATTGTTGATGTTTACATGAAATGTGCTGGTGCAGCTGAGAAGCTGAACTCCATTATCTGAATAACTAAATTTTTTTATTCTACATTTTTGTTTATAGATAAGTTGAACTGGTCGTTATACTTCATTTTCTAATTCATTTTTGCTTTCTCTTTCTTGCGTTGCTTGATACAGCTTCTATCTTTGTGGAAACTAGATATAGTTATGAAAATACAGCAGTAAGATTTATTTCGCTCGAATAAACACTGTTGTTTAAAGAAGAGACATGTTTCATTCATACACAATAAGAGGGTACAAAAATAATTATTTGAATACAAATTTGGAACTATTTTTCTTGCTTATAGGGTCTACTGGAGAGAACTGTTTATTTTTTGTTGGGAGTGTGTCTAGTGCAAATAGTTTTAGTCTGTTGAGGATAAAGCATCTCTTGACGCTGTTTACGTTTCTTTATCTATTTTTATTATCATGCCAACTGCTATTGTGTCTATTTTCATGCTGTTTGATTTCATTATGTGTCAATTAGGTGTACGAGTCTCTCTATAGACTTCATTACGTCATTAGTGAAGTGTATAATAAATTAACGAATATGATAATATAATTAGGGATATATTTGAAGTATTGGTGAATCTTGACATGGGGATTTTTCCTTAATTATCATCCTCAGGAGCGAAGACGCGAACTGCTGTTATTTTATTAAGATCTCTGAGTTTGGATACCTGGAGGAAGAAAATTTAATTGGTGATTTCTCGGATATTTCTCAAAATGCTAGTATCTATGTAGCATCACGAACAAGCCTTAATCAAATAGGTCATTGCTTTGAATTCCCCAAGCATGCTATTAAATTTTGAGTCATGATCCTGCGACGATTTGTGTGAAAAGTCTCCAACATTGGAAATGATCAATTATCAGAGAAATTTAAGCTTTATTCCGTGGAAAGAGCAATTTTTTGAGCTGTGTATAGTAATTTCCTTGTAGTAGGTACTACGCATGTAATTGTTTCATTTTGAAATGTTTGTCTCACATCTCCCGGTTGTAAAACTATTGTACCAAGCCCAGACGATGCTGTAATTGGCGTTAGTACGTATTTAGAATTCAATGTACATATTGAAGTGTCATTCTCTTGCAACCTTAAAATGCTTTGAGATATACACCGGCTCCATCTCAAAATCATGCATGTTTATCGCTTATAAGTTTCTCATTTGCACACCGCATCTGTTATTGATGACTGGTGCTGTGTCGAGTTTCTGCTATTTCTTGTAACATAGGTGACTTCCCAGTTGCAAGTACTCATTTTAGCGTTTGAAGAATCTGCGTTTGTTAACTTATAATGTTATTTCTCCATTAGATCGAGACACATTCGATGTACTCCCAGTCCATGATGTAAACCCCATAGGGATTTATTTGGTACAAATTGCTATGAGATGTATTCTCTCTGGGCTGTGTTTTTCAAGAATTGTAAATTGTTCCTTGGTATCTGAAGTTGTTGCCAACTCATCGAACTAATTAGTTTGCTCGAGAATTTAGGATATGTACTGTTATTGTTATCCTGTCTTGTACATATATATCATGTAAATTCTGCAGTTTGATTTGGGAGTTCAGCTCTGATGCATGATTCTTGATTTCTTGTCTGTAGAAGATGTACACATGGTGATCCAAAAGCCTGCTTAGTTACAATGACGTATGTTGTATTGAAGGATATCTGTCTGATCCAACCCCCTTATTCGGTGTAGCTTAAAAGGTTGATAAAAGTTCAAGTCAAATTTAATAATTAATTTTAACTACAAATTTCAGAAATCCATTATTTTTGTCAACTTTTCAATCTCACATTTATACTTTTACCAATATTTGCTAAAAATTTGATCTTTAGCTATAGTGGACACAGGAACAATGTATTTTTTATTCTATAATGTGGATATAACTGAGTAAATTTTGATAAAAGTTCATGAAATATATGGTTGGTTGGAATTAATTTGTTGGCTTTGATTGATAAAATTTTTAATTATAATCTCTACTAAGTCTTTAATTTAACAGAAGCCAGTACTTGTGTCACCAAAGGCAAAGCAAAGTTCACAATGGTAAGATTCCCCCCCCCCCCCCCCCCCCAAAAAATGCATTTTGAAATAGTGTTGTGATGAAAAATATGTGGTAAAAAAATAAAAAAAAGTTTTAAATTTGCGTAACAATATTTTATTGAAAAATATGGTTGAAATGTAGTTAAATTATTGTTGAAGAATGTATTTTGATAGAAAAATTGAGGTTCAAACAAGGGCTTAATATGGAATAATTGTTACAAGTACAAAAAATAAAGATCAAATAAAATATATTAGGACATTATTACATAAAATTAACAATATTATTAAAACTAAATGACGAGATATGCTTGAACCAATAGGTTCAACAAATTTTGTCACGACTTTCTATCGTTCAATTTTCTAGATATAACTAAAGCGGTTCTTAATTTTTGTAGTTGAGTTTGTATTTGTAAATGGTTCACGTCTTGTGATTTGCCTTCTATCATTAAAATTATTTCTTTAAAAAAAAAAATACTAGTCTACGTAGAGTTGGATAAAACTTTCGAATTGAACTCTAATCAAATCAAGCGGTTTGATTCGATTCTTTTCAGGTTAAATACTCGAATGAGTACTAGAATTGAAAATCGATGGATTTGGTTTGATTCTTGATTCTAGATTAAGAATTGAATAAGAATCTGATTTTTTCAATTTTTTTTTTTTATTATTGAATGAGCCAATTATTTTAATTATTTTCTATATAAATTTGTCAATTGACTAATTAAGTAATTAACTATAAGCGTCCGAGTTGCCATCGTTTTTAGCCACTCCCCTCTCACAGTCTCGACTTCATCTTTGCTCCTTAAGATCCACATGGACCATACCATCAAATCATATATTCATAAGCATTTCTACATTATTCTTCATTGTGAATGGCTCTTATTAGACACCTTATTATTTGTAAAATTTTAAATTGGACTATGTTATTTTATAAAAGTTAAGATTGAATATATCATTGGTTGGATTATTGTAATGTTGTCATAAATGTTAAAAATTTAGTTATGGTACCAGTTCGATTCTATAATTAAATTTAGATCTGACAGTTCCATTTATTAAATACCAAAAATTTTGGTTCGGTTCATTTTTCTTTAAAACCAAACTGAACCATGTTTAGGCTATTCTTTTAAACAATTTGAAACAAATTTAGGGTTCATTTGACAGGCTTTTGAAAAGTTAAAAGTTGCTTCTGAGACTAAAAATTTTCTTTTGATCATGTTTGGATTTTTTTACTCTGTCTAATTAGAAGAGTTTTTAAAGAAAATTGACATAAATAACTCTTTTAGGAAACTCTTCTATAAGAAGTAGGAGCAAAAACAAAAAATCTATCAAACGGGTTTTTAATACGTTGTACTTTGTCAAATTAAAAATGAAAAATATATGATAACATTTGTCAATTATTCTATGATATTCATGCAGTGAACATATAAAATATGAGAAAACTCTTTTACAAGAAACGAGCAAAAGAAGAAGTCCCACGATATAACCCCTTAGTACGCTTATTGTATATCGCGTATACTCAACCAAGTTAAGAGCATGTTTGGTTTGAATTAAAATCTAATTTTAATTTAAGACAAAGTCAAACAATCAATATTAATTACATCTTCCATGAGTTCCATAACTTTTCACTCACACATTTCAAAAACTTTTATTACAATTTACTGAAAAATTTAAATTTAATCATCACCAAACAAGAAAAATGAAAGATAAAACTTGTCAATTATTCAATAAAATCCATGTAGTTACAAAATATGCCATAAATATTGTGTGGTGTGCAAGGATAAAACTTTCATGGCCACCCCAAGATTACGAGCTTTCAGGGCCCGTAGACTACGCCGTTTTCTTATTTCCACCCTCCGTCCACCCTATATAAACTCCTCCATACCCTTCATCCCCATCACACCGCACTGTTTCGCAATCTATACTTACAAGATACATATATATAACAAACAGAAAAAAGAAAAAACCAGCAAAAATGGCACGCGAAATCATTGTCCTTGCCCTCGTCTTCTTCGCCATTGTCGGGATGGCTTCAGCTGCAGGAGACCACAAGGAAGCACACGCCGCCGGGGCTGAGGCGCCAAAGACTTCAGCTGCTGGAGGAGACGGTGTCATTGGCACTATTACTGGTGGCCACAGTACCGACGCAGCACCTGTTGGCGGACCTGTTCCGGCTGGAAGTTTCCACAACCTTGCTCCTGGACCATCATCCAAGAGCACCAGACTTGAAGTCACCACAGTCGCCGGAGCTTTTGCTGCCGCCGCCGTTGCTGGTTCTTTCTTCTTCTAAATTAATTGAGTGGTCACCTTTTGCCTGATTGCCTCCATGCATGGGGTTTTAGGATAATCACCAAATCTGCAATAAATTGGAGCTCAAATGCTCAATCAATTGGTATAGAATCTGTAGATTCCTCTTTTGTTTTTATAGAAATTTTTTTGTAGCTCACAAATTAGTGAGTTCTTCGATCAGACAAATGAATAAATTGAAAAGAAAAGGTACTTAGTACTTACCATGTTTTCTTCCTCATATTGTGTTTGGATAAACTTAAAAGTTACTTATATATACTTTTAATTAACAAAGAGGTCTAGATATTTTTTTCTTCTTCTTGAAGTATAAATCAATAAGTTACTTTTATTGACAATAAGGAATGTACTACTTTCAAAATGAGTACCTTAATTATTTATTCTAAATAATCAAGACCATGGTCTCGGTGGTAATTTCCAATATTTGTTTTGCTAGTTTATCTTTGTTTCTTTTGATCGGTCTAGAAGGCGACTCAGGCAATTTGAGAACTTTACATAAATCTCGAAGGGTTATTTTTTAAGAATAATAATAATAATAATAATAAAACATTAAATGAGCAAATGATCAAAGACATTATTATCGTCGGTGATCATGACACAAATGAAAATAATTCCTTCAAAAACCAATATCGATAAATTATCCACATCATTTCCTCCCGTGATTATCATTGACGTCGGTGATTCTTGATTATGTTAGTAAGCAATTATTGACAATACTATCATTCGTGATCATCTTCAATGCTTCGGTTAAGTTGATTCATGATGGGTGATCAATGAACTCTTTCAAAAGAAACACAACGTATATTTGATAATATTACTTATTTTTTGTCAAGATTTTGACATAAAATCTTAACATTTAGTCATATGCGATGTGCTTCATAAACTTTTTTTGCCCCTTCAAATTCTATGAGAAACATAGTAATAATAAAAATAAATCAAGAATGGAGTTAAAATTATTCTACTCTTTTTTAGGATCATTTCTCTTAATTTCTCTTTGAATGACAATTGAGGTTAGGTTAAAATGTCCTTAATCAACTTATAATGTAATTTCGTTTTGTGATATGCAGCAGACACGTGGTACAATGTTAGTTCAACTAGATCGGTTAGTTAGTTGGACAATGCTATACATATCGAATTTTTTTACCTATTACTCACAATAGAGGTGGAGATCACATGTCAACATTTTTAAATTCACCCGAAGCTCACCATACATGTAAAACATTCTTTAAAGAATTGGGTGTACAAATATCTTTTTCCTAATTAGGATGCTTTAAACAATTTTGGATTTACCCTTGACACATTGTACCAAACAAACATGAAAGGTATGTTTAAGTACACGTTACCAGGAAATGCAGTGGACGCGATTTAACCTTTTCTTTTTCTCATTCTCAGTATTGTCCAGTACAGGGTTAAATATCTAAGTTGGCAATGAACTTTCTTAAAATTTTCTTAATAGCAATAGGAATTTTAGAAATATTCCAACTTGATACTGAACTTACAACCATTAGTCGTCGATTTATGACACGACCTGTCTCGAATCACCCTAACGAATTCGAAACGTGATGTGTGCCAATGGTATATGCCGACTAGATGTCAAATCTAACACCAAGGTTGGCTATGAGTTACTTTAAAAAATACATAAAAATCAAATGCTTATGTAAAATATAATACAGTGGGCCCAAATTATTTACTTTGTGCTTCATCGATATTAGTCATAATACTCAACATGTCGTGTGGCTCTCAATTCGAAATCATTAGATTCTTCCAGCTAAAAAGAATCAATTGCTGCCTATAGGAAAAATTATGAGAAAATATATGAGTTGATAGCTTAGTGAGTGGAAGAGTTAAAAAAATAATTATACTTTTTCGTTTAAACATTTTTACCAAACATCCAGTTCATATCGTTTAATATTCACATGATAGACTCATACAATTATAGCCAAAAAGTAAGACATTCTTATAACACTGTAAATATAATCTCATAATCATTGTTATGCCCCTATCTGAACCAGTTCAAAAAGTCTACTACTGCGTTATACGAGGTGTTCAACACCCATCCGAAGTGACGCTACCACCAATGTTGTCGATCTGCTAACGCATTGTGAGGCACAGACAATCTACTAAACTGACCGAAGCGTTCTCGCCCCTGAAGTCGAGGCGCAGTACATTCCGAGGTTCTCTGTCAGAGGATCCACCCCCCAATTTCAGAAAGAGATCCGTGTCAAATCCTTTCTGCTCCCAAGGTTTAATTGATTTGACGTGTCCATGAGCCTAATTGCTGTGACGTATCAACTTTATGTCAACTCAACTCGAGAGAAGTAATTACCCGTCCACTCTATAGACGCGGCTGATTGACGCCTATAAGCAGACGTCTCATACCATCAGATGCATACATGTGTCTCACATCCAATGGTTCTCCTCGCTTATAAATACCTAAGGTTTGGTAAGAGGCAAAAGGAGATGAAACTCTTACAACTTAGCTCTCCATAATAAGTAAATATATATTCTCCTTCCCACCTTTTTGCACAACCTTGGTACTGTTTCGATCACCTGGGGCTAATTTGACCATCGGAGTGTATGCGGCCGCCACCACCCCAACTGGTCCTGGCTGTGTGCATCTGATCGTGCGTTGATTGTGCACAGGGAGGAATACGTGGAGTAGCTATCGATTGGCCACGTGGAGGGTCCAATTTGCGAGGTCAACAGATTGGCACTGTCTGTGAAAAACTTCCCGTCCGAAGTTCTGCATTCTTTATCGGAGAAACCACCAGAAAACTAGTGACTTACCCTGAAAAGGGCACGTTCTTGAAAAAGAGCAAAGTCGAGTTATAATCCAAGTTCTTATCACCCTTGAAAAAGGAGATAAGACGAGTTCCAGCCATGAAGACGAGAACCCTATGAGAGAGGCCTCTGAAGAAGAGGTGCTCCGTAACAATGTCACTCACCAGAGACCCCATCACCGGCATCACCGAGGTGAAAGAACAGTCATGCTCACTAAAGGAATGATTCAAATAGCTGCGGGCATGAGAGACATCGCAGCCCAGAATATGGCGATGCATGAACTCCTCATGCAGGCCCGAGGTCACCCCCTCAAAAGAGAAGTGGGTGCGGAAGCCACATCCTATGTGCAAGGGAGCCAGCCAGCAGAACCACAATTGGAGGACAATTTCCCTCAAGAATATGAAGCACAAAGGTCAGTCAGCGTCTTCGACCAAATAGGGCAGGACCCTAGTAATAGGGTCCGCTCAGTGTGAAGATCAGTTCGGTAAGAATAGGAGCAAGAACAAGCACCTTCTCCTCCTAGAAATAAGAAGGAGAGAAGGGACTTAGTTGATTGGGGCAGTCGAGGAGAAGCACCTCCACCTCCTTAGAACATTCAAGATCATAAAGGGTCAGATGGGCCTTGTCGATCGTATGAAATTGACGATGATGATGATAACCTCCCTTTCTCAAGGGAAATCCGAAGCTTCCTAATGCCTACGAATTTCATGCCCCCTAAGATCCCCAAGTATGAAGGAAAGCGGGACTTGGAGAAGCACCTCACCAAGTACATGACACAGATGAGCCTCAGGAGAGCCTCGCCTGCTTTGAAATGCAGAGCCTTCCACCTAACCCTGGGCGGAGTTGCTGAATTGAAGTATAATACACTTCCTCCCCTGAGCATTAGGAGTTGGCCAGATTTGAAGAAGGCATTCTTGAACCAGCACCTCTCACGTAGAGAAGGAGAGGTCTCAGTGCAACACCTGCAAGATATAAGACAGGCCCCTGGAGAGATGCTGAAAAGCTATCTTGCCAGGTTTATAGACGAAATCACGTACTGCGAGCAGGTCACTGACAGAGAAGCCCTTTCAACTCTGAAAGGTAGCCTCAACATGAACACTTTGTTCTGGAGGGATGTGCGCAGCAAAAATCCCTCCACTTATGACGAGCTGGTAGAAATGATGAGAGTTGAGATCGTCGGTGAAGAGATGATTGATCAGCGAAATCGTGTCGCATGGGGACTCCCTCCGCCTCAAAGGTAGGTAGGTCGAGGACTCGCAGCGCACCTTGTCACTCAACAATGGACTCAAGCAGGTCATACAATAGCTCCCACCTCCAGACAGGCACTGGCTTCTGCCACGCTAAATGTAGTGCTGGTGTTGGTATACCAGAATTTCCCTGGCGAAGTAGGGCCATCTGGAGGAACTGATAGTAATAAAAAGAAGAAGAAGAAGTAGTCAAACAGGCCCTTGGAAGGGCCAAAGGTTTTGTACTTTTCACCAACTCTATGGGCATGACACCAATGAGTGCAAAGACGCTCCTCGACGCCCGGATTGGAGCGACCCACATCCCTCCAGGAGGAACAAATATCCTTGTAGATCCGCCTCCCCGAACAGGGGAGAGAGAAGGCATAGAGAGCAGTTACCCCAGAGAAGAGAATCAAGGGACTGAGGAGAGTCCAGACAGAGAGATCAGGCCCCATTTTCTCGAGTCCAAACATCGACACGATCATTAGAGGACCTCACATCGGTGGCAACACCAAGAACGCCCAAAGGAATTACACAAGGGAAGCAAATGACCTGCCAATGCTCACTTACATTGTCAACGAGTCCCAAAAGGCCAACAGGATGACCCCAATTACCTTCTCCCAGGAAGATGCACAAGGAGTTCACCACCCCCATTATGACGCATTGGTTGTGAGAGCCGTAGTGGCTAGAAATGGACTCAAATGCATGCTCGTCGACAATGGCAGTTCGGTGAATATACTGTTTGGCTCTACCTTCGACAAAATGCAAATTGGATATGGGTTGGTCCCCATGACCGATCCACTATTCGGATTTACTGGAGACAGTATCGACCCACGAGGGCGGATCACTCTGCCCGTCGAGATGGGTTGGCTCCTCTAGTGGCCCAACACTTCATAGAATTCTTGGTGGTAGACCACAGATCGGCCTACCATGGGTATTGGGCAGGCCCGCATTGAAAGATCTTTGGGCTGCCACCTCCATCCACTACTTGTGTATGAAATTTCCAATTGAACATGGGATTGCTACAGTCCGAGGCGACCAGATAGGCTCTAGGGCATGTTACTTAAACTCTCTGCGAAAATCGAAGCCTCGAACTGTTAACGTGATCATAACTGAAGTTGCCAGTGAGGCCAGTTTGGATGTGGAAATGCTCGACGTCCCTGAACAAGGGCATACCTCCGAACAGGAGGAAGATATCGACATGGAAGAGGCCC